AATTATCCTAATTATCATTATCATTATTATTTTCATTATTGTTAGTATTATTCTATTTGTAGTAATAATAGCGTTATCATTTCATCATAACTATTATTACCATTATTGTCATCATTATCAATATTGCCATTATTGTTATCATTAATGTCAGGTTCAATCTTTCATAAACAAAATCGAAATTTACTAAATTATTACCTTTACCACCCTCGATTTAGATCTTTTAGGGTAACCCCCAGCTGATTTACATACGACATGACCTCGCGCTTATTAGGCCTATGGGGAGGCTAGGCTATTCCCTCTCTGTCTTTTAAAGAGTTGATAATTATTGGTTATCAAAACCCCGAATTAATTAACGATTTATTTATTATAATTAATTAATTGATTTATTATTATTTAAAGATTTATTTATCACTTTCCGAAGTATTAATGATATTATCTTATCACCTGTCACTGTTATTTGAATTATGGAGCTGTTAATTACGTCAAGTCTCCGTCTTCACTATTTATTCTTCCTCATCAATTCTTGAGTACGAGCAAATATGGCGGCACCGAGTGGTTGTTGCGTCAGTCACTTTCCTGTCTCTAAAAGGAAAAAAAGAGCGCAGATTCGTCTGATTGTTCCAAATCAATCTACAGTGATATAGAAAGCTTGTATAATATTCCTAATCTATAATATTCCTCTAGAATTAGTATCAGTTGCCTAGCTTCGATTAATGACCTGAGGGGAAAAAGAACGCGGCTCTCTCTCTCTTTCTCTCTCTCTCTCTCTCTCTCTCTCTCTCTCTCTCTCTCTCTCTCTCTCTCTCTCTCTCTCTCTCTCTCTCTCTCTCTCTCTCTCTCTCTCTCTTTTTTTTTAGAATACCTTCGCATAACAGATCCCGAAAATAGCAAGGGAAGGCATGGAAAGTACCAAGGAAAATGCGGGGTAAATTATGAGTACCACACCCAGATCCAGTCAATATATTATCTAATGCTACTAAATTGTCCCTGGCGACTCTCCGACTAGCCAACCCCCGTAATAGAAGACAGAGAATCCTCCACGTATTTAGCGGCAGAGTGGAGCGTGCGACCGACACCTAGTCTGTCCGACCTCTATCCTGTCGTGAATACGTTTGGGGGGGGGGGGATAGGACCGGGGCAAGAATATTCCTAGTGAAACGCTAAACAAGCAAACGTTCACCACTACCGAGTAATTGCCATCATTGTGTTTTCTAGCAAGTGTTTCATCCACACTGTGATATTTAGTAAAAAAAAAAAAAAAAAAGTGACTTTCGGTGAAACTTACGAGATCCCCAGTTGTCACGTGATCCCGGCGGGCTCCTTCAAACAATTTCCCCAAATTTGGAGTCGTAATTATGAAGGCGGACGGGGCGAGGCAATCTCCGCCGCCCAATCAACCAAGATTATCATCAGATTCACAATTACATGTGTGAATTTTTGAGGAGTAATCACACGTGACTCGCCACTTTCGCCCCTCCTTAAGATTTTAATGGGTCCAACCTAAATGTTCTTCGTGGTTCCGACTAACTCATTTTCCTTTCACGAGGAGAGGGTGAGGGGGTTGGGGGGGGGGGGGGGGAAAGGGAGGGGAAAGGGAGATAGGCGAAGGGAGGTTGAGGGGGTTTGGGGTTCGATTGGGTGGGCGGGAGGGTAAAGGGGGGGGGTAGAGGGCGAAGGGAGGTAGGGAGGTGGGGAGGAGAGGAGGAAAGGGGTGAGGGGGAGTGGGGAGAGGAGGAAGGAGGTGAGGGGGGAAAGAGGAAGGAATTAGGCGACGAGGGAGGGAGGAGGAAGGAAAGAGGGAGGGGAGAAGTAGGAGGAAGGAGGGAGGGAGACGGAGGAAGGAAGGAGGAAGCAAGAAGGTTAGGGGGAGGGAAGGAGATGGTAGGAGGGGAGAGGGATTAGGGAAAGGGAGGAGGATGACAGGAAGAATGGAAGGGAGGAGGGCATGGGAAGGGGGGGGAGAAAGGAGGGGAGTGGGAGAGGGAGGAAGGGAAGGGGCAGGGGAGGGGAGAAAAGAGGGGAATGGGAGATGTGGAGGGGAGGAGGAAGGGGGGAAGGGAGGGTGAGGAAGGAGGGGAATGGAGGAAGGAGGAAGGGGGGAGGAAGGGAAAGGAGGGGAGTAGGAGAGGGAGGAAGGGAAGGGGGCAGGGGAGGGGGAGGAGAAAGGAGGGGAATGGGAGAAGGTGAGGGGAGGAGGGAAGGGGGAAGAAATGAGGGGAGTAGGGGAGGGAGGAAGGGCGTGGAGGGAAAGGAGGGGAAGGAGGAAAGGGGAAGGGAGGGAGGGGTAGAGAGAGAAAGAGAGGAAGCGAAGAAAGGCGGGCGGGGGAAGCATGAGGGTGCAACTGCATATAAAAGCCAGGTGGAACTTCTGGATGGCAGCACTTCGTCTCTGACTTCTCAAGCATGACCCCGATGGCGAGTAGACGTTTCGTTAACTTACTCTGGATTATCAACTGGAAAAAAAAAGCTAATGGATTCTTGTCTCCGTGTGGATAACGAT